ATTCCTGGCTCAAAGGATTTAGCTAGCATATGTTCTGTTGATAAAATTCCTTTATAACAAGAATAAGAGTTTAATTTAAATAGGATTTTGGATGTATTCAGATCTTGAGATCTTACATCTATTTTGAGACAAAGGATTTTTTTTAAGGGTTGTTAATGACTTGCCAATGCTCTAGGCAGACATCAAAATCTACAGGCTTCTTGCCTTGCCACTACTGAAGACAAGTTGGGTGAACTGTAAAAGGATTTCTAGTAAATATCATTGTTAGGGCTTGGGGGATTTCAAAAACTTAGCAGGAGTGCTTTAAGAAGCAGTTATCCAGACAATGGGCAAGGAGGACACTTGAAAAGCAACCTTAATGGGTATAATTGAGTACAGACCTTACACATGCTAGTGGAGAGATAAGGTCAGACGTCACTTATCCGGAGTTCAGTCAGATAAGATTTTCTAAGGAGATGAAGTTCTTGTGTAAAGTTCTCTATTAGATGCTCTAAATAAAAGGAAGACGCTATTTTACATGCTAACCTCTAGGTCTGCCCCCAATTCTGTGCCCTAAGGCTTTGTCCAAAGATGTACACTAAAGAAGAGATATTTTGTTTCACCAAAAAAATATGTGTGTGTGTATATATATATATATATATAATATATATATAACAGCATCTTTTACTTAATGGATTTACCTTTCCTTAGCAAGTTCAATAAAATATGAATTCTATGAAATATACTCAATGATTCTTTTATCTCGCTGATGTTCTTTGGTCCTATTGCTGTTCTTTATGTTTGAACAGAATTTTTAAAAAGAAATCATTACTTTTAGATTTAGATTTCTCTGGATATTTCTTATTTTCATTAATAAATCAAAATATTCTTAGATCACTTAGTAAATTAAACTATATACATTAGTATGCTTCTGAAGGAAAATAGTTTTAGAAAAAATTTAATTCTGTAATTATTTAACTGATTTATTGTGTTCTAGTTAGGAGTTGTACATTGAACTGAGAAAAAGTTTCACATGGAGAAAATAGGTCAAATGATAAAATAATTGAAATGGAGTTGAGAAACTGAGTCCCCCAAATTTAGATTTTTAGATATGTAAGAGACCTTAAGTTATGCATTCCAGAAACCGAATGCAAGAATCATATCTACAAGATTCTGACAAGTAAACGCAATTCATCATTTTTTGAATTCCTCAAGAGGCTATTTATCTTGCGATATTTCACTGGTAGATGTCTTAAAACAAGAGGATTCTAGTGACTTTACCACCATTTTCATTTTTGAAATTTTTTTACTCATACGAGGCACAGGCCTTACCAGTTTTTATTTTTTTTTTGATTTTTTAAACTGCATTTAAAATTTGTAGAAATATGTAGAAAAGGGAGATGGTGCCAATGCTTGAAGGTTGATTTAATTTCTTATTTGTTTTTAGATTTTATTATTTTAAGAAGTAAGATAAATTTTACTGGTCGTTAATATACATTTTGACACATATACACATGTATACATTTATAAAATGAATATGCTTTATCAGGTGTGCTCAAAAAAATTTGGAGATTAGTTAGGTTAGTGGTTTAGAGTGTAAACTTTGGAGTCAGAAATCTGAGTTCAGTAAGTATATACCAAAATGACAACATCTTTGATTGCTAAATGGTGGGGATTTGTGAACACATGTGCTATAAAAGGTTTTCTTGTTCAGTGGAATTTTGTTGAAGCTACATCATCAAAATGGTACCTGTTGAGATAAGAAAGTTTTCTCCCATTGAGTGGGACATTAAAAACAAGTGAACTTTACCATATAAAATTCTGTAGCATAGGTAAGACTTTTCCTCTACCTTCTCTGGTTCTACTGCTGGGCTTGAAAATTAAACTGACCAAAGATGGATTAACGGGAGAAAAGCATAAAAAAATTTATTTTGTGTTAATATTTTTACATGGCATGGGAGCCTTTATAGAAAATAAGTGAAGACCCAAAGAAACAGATAGGCCTGAGAGCGTATATACCATTTCAACAAAGAATGATAAGTTCCAGGAGCCACCCGGTGGCATAGTGGTTAAGTTCCTGCACTCTGCTTCGGCAGTCCGGCGTTCATGGGTTCGGATCTTGGGCGCAGACCTATGCAGCGCTCATTGCAAAAAGAGGAAGATTGGCAAAAGATGTTAGCTCAGGGCCAGTCTTCCTCATCAACAAAAAAAGAAAAAAAATGATAAATTCTGGAGGTGTGACAAGACAAAAGAAAAAGGTACTTGAGTATCATTCTCTGCCTGGAGCCACATCTCGTCTACTCAGGTATCTTTGGTGTTGGCTCTCATGGTGTTTTAGGCATATCCTAAAACATTATTATTGTGCTCTTCACTTCTGGCCATCCATGTCTGCATTTCTTATAACTGTTAACAAGTGTACACTGTCTTTCTTTTTTATTTTAAATTGCCAGTGCTTCCCAAGTACTTGACATACTGTAGAGGTTCAATGAATGTTGGGTGAATGATTGACTGGCTTAAATATCTTTAGGCAATAAGACCCCAAGTGGATTGCGAGGTGCTTAGGGCAATTAACGTAATGGCCACCCTAAATATACTCTTTGCTACTCATGAAGCTCTGGGTTTATGCTAGTTCCTCTATCTCGGTCTCAGAAGTGAATGTTGAGAATCCGTAAAGTTGTACTAATGGTCGAAAAGGAATTTATTTAATTCTTTGACTTTAGTCATAAACCTATGACCTGTGATTTCTGGATGTTGTCTTTGTACTTTAGATCTGAAAATGTTTCTGTCTCCTCTATTCTTTTTTTCCTCTCACTTGTATATTAACACTTACTCATCAGTCTCTCAGCTGTCTGTCTTTTTGCCTAGAGAAATTAAATTCCTCTACAACTCTTACCTCTGGGACTCAAACCTGCTTTCAATTTCAAGTTCAAGCAAGTCTTCCTGGCCTCGTGTCCTTTTCACTCTGTCCATGGCCTTGGCTCACACAGATACCAACTGTCTTGCATTGTGTGAAACAGTGATGTTTGAAGAGGTATGTTGACAAGCATTAGGTGGCCCATAGGTTGGAGGAATTTGCCTTTTCTCCTTAAACTCTGAAGTCCCCAAGAAGGCTTTATTCCATAGAAAGAGTCTGGAAGATTTGGGTTCTGGTTCAGGCTCTGTCCCTGGTTTGATGTTCTCAGGTTTGGGTAAAAGAGTTATATTATAAAACCTACAAGTATACCAGTCTTTCTCTTGAAGTTAAAACTGATTTGAGGAAAGAAAAGAGACTTGTAGAAACCACAATCCTTTTTTTTACCCCTGGTGATTATAATGAGTTTCCTAAGGCTGCTGTAACATATTACCACAAACTTGCTGGTTTAAAACAACAGAAATTTATTTTCTCACAGTTCTGAAGGCTAGAAGTTCTAAACTAAGGTGTCGGCAGGGCCATGTTCCCTCTCAAGACTCCAGGGAAGAATCTTTCCTTGTGTTTTCCTAGCTTCTGGTGGCTTCTGGCAATCCTTAGCATTCGTTGGTTTGTGGCTGCATCACTTCAATTCCTGCCTCCATGGTCACATGGCCGTCTTTCCTGCATCTCTGTGTCTTTGCATTCTCTCCTCTTCTTATAAGGATATTAGCCATTGGATTAGGGCCTACCCTAAATCTAGGATGTTTTTATCTCAATATCGTTGACTAATTATATTTGCGAAGACTCTATTTCCAAATAAGGTCACGTTCTGAGGTTCTGGGTGGAAATGAATTTCGAGCGGACACTGTTGAACCCATTAGAGGGGCTATCCTTTAAATGTCAACAGCCTTATTACTTTTTAAATTATAAAATTTAAATTGACAGTTTTCAAGGATCGAAGTATCCATTCTTTTTTGAAGAGTTCTCTGGGTAAAGATCTTCCCAATAGGCTCTTTCTGCCCCATGTTTTTCTTATATAAAATGATCACGTGGAAATTAGATGTGAATGTTCATTTTTCCATAAGTTTAACCTTCTTCCCTGAGATACAGGGAAATCTAATCTTTTCTTTATTCCATTTACTTCTCCCACTCTCTGCCATTCAGGCATTGGTATCAGTAATTGGTAGTTGAAAGGAATTCATTTTTTCCTTCAATATTACTGTAGGTGAAGAGTTTCTAGGTCCTGAGTAAGGAAATTTATTAGGGCTTAAACTATGAAAATCTTTAGCTCCTTTACATTTTCTATACATTAGGGGAAAATCCATTATCTTCAAAGCATGAGACTGTAATGGTTCTTAAGAGTTTATTTTATTCTGTCTGTGGTGTTCTCCTCAGAATAATTGCTTTTTCTGCAACGGGAATGAATGGATAATTTGCTATGGTAAGGATATACATTTCTGGGAAGAATGGTACAATTCTCGTTATACCTTTGTATAGCAATATACTACTAATCTAATTAAAAAGAAAGGTTCTAGTTTCCTCCTGGTTATCACAGAACGTCTAAATATGTCTTCCTGTAGGTAATTTTTGCAAATACCAGTGTTAAATAATACATAGCTTAATTTCTTATCCTTGGCTCAGACCATTTTATTGTACCACAAAATGTGCCATAACACTTCACTTCGTGACAATCAGAATGACAACACAATCTCACTTATCAAAGACTATAAAATACCAAAATTCATATATTGCTTTTATTAAGCTAGGCCAGAACCAATCCTTTTAGTGGATGATATAAAGTAGTAAAATGTTTTATTAACTTTAAACATAAGAGTAAATTACTTTAAGATATGGTGGAGCAATGTGCCAAAGAGCACTTAAACTTGACCTTCGGTAGGAGATTTTCGCTGATTCAATAGTTTCAAGCAAACTTTTGACTTATTACCTTAGGCAGAAGTGACTTTTACCTCTTCCTCTCCCTATTCTCCTTCAAAAAAAAAAAAAGATAAAACTTTACAATTCTATGAGAGATTGTTGTTTTCAATATTTGGCAGACCACTACAAAGAGATCTTTCAAGAAATAACAAACAAGAATGAGAAGTTTGAATTGAAGTTTATTTTCTTTCAACAGGCTTTTGGTAAGGCATTGCTTGGTACAGCATTTTGCTCAATTGAGAAGGCCAAACAAAAAAATAGCTGCATTTACCTCTCTGCAGGCTCAGTAATGATTTGAGAAGACGAGATAAATGTTAGCTATTATAGAATTTGTATCATATATAAGAGGAAATAATTTTATTGATTCAAATGCAGGAGTAGGTCCTCCATCTTCAGAAATTGAACTAAACTGCCTGTACTTAAAGTTGAGAACTTGGTAAATCTTACAATCTCTGATACAGAAATGTAGTGTAACATTACGTTCTATATTTCTTTTTTCTTTCAGTTATAGATGAAGCAACTTGCAAAACATTCCTGAAATACAAAGCAAGAATAATAATATTTAAATGTAAATTGCTATACCTCTTTATCCATCAAAGTGGCTTCATTCCACTCTCTCTTTTCTGTGCTTATATCTTGCATCAAGTATTGGATAAACCAAAGTGTGTAAGAAGAAATAAGTGATTTTCATAGTTATTATCTTTGCAATGGGAGTGCTAAGGTTCAAGCATAGCTTTGCTGGGCCCAGTGGAGCATGCCAGGCAGTGTTCATCTTCCTTTTAACTCCTTGCTTGACTCTGGATTTCAGAGCACCTCCTCTTATCCCAAATACTCCTTTCCTCTGGGCCTGGAATGCCCCAACTGAAACTTGTGCTGGAAAGTTTAATGTGTTGGTAGATCTGAGCCTCTTCTCTTTAGTAGGAAGCCCCCAAAGAAATGCCACAGGACAAAATATTACATTATTTTATGCTGATAGACTTGGCTACTATCCTCATATAAATACAAAGACAGGCACAAGTGTGAATGGAGGAATCCCCCAGTTGGGATCCTTAAAAAAGCATTTGGACAAAGCTAAGGGAGACATTGCTTATTACATGCCAACAGACAATGTGGGCTTGGCTGTCATTGACTGGGAAGAATGGAGGCCTACCTGGGTGAGAAACTGGAAATCTAAAGAAGTTTACAAGCGTCAGTCTATTTTGTTGGTTCAGCAGCAAAATTTACGACTTAACATCACAGAAGCCACCAACATAGCCAAAGAAGATTTCGAAAAGGCAGCAAAGAGTTTCATGCGAGAGACTTTAAAACTGGGAAAATCACTTAAGCCAAATCACTTATGGGGTTATTACCTTTTTCCTGATTGTTACAATCACCGTTATAAAAAACCCAGTTACGATGGAAGTTGCTATGACATAGAAAAGAGCAGAAATGATGAGCTCAAATGGTTGTGGAAGGAAAGCACTGCCCTTTTTCCATCCATTTACTTGAATAGCCACTTAAAGTCTTCTCCACAAGCTGCGCTCTTTGTCAGAAATCGTGTTCAGGAAGCCATTCGGATTTCTAAATTACCCAATGCTAAAACTCCACTTCCAGTCTTCGTATATGCACGTCCAATTTTTTCTGATATGTCTTTGGAGTACCTTTCTCAGGTAAGTGAATCAAGATATGAAGCCTTTGAAATAGTGTGCACAAATGGTGTTTAGTGGAATTTAACATCATTTTTGAAAGAAATGAAATTTAGTTTTTAATATCCTTCAGGAATATGCACACAGGTAATTCTGCATCACTATATGAATGCAAAAAAAGAATATATTTCATTTTTAACATAATCATATAATATCTTAGCAACCGTGGAAAATTAGGCAGTATAGACAAAGTATTAACTCAGTTTCTTTTTTCTTCTTTCATGGGCCTGCTCTCTTGTCAATAGAAGTAATTAAAATAACAATAGAAAATCTATTTTTGTTATTGTAGGGCAGCAGCTGCATAAAAGATAGAATAAATAGTGGGGAAATATTTAAACTATTGTTGTTGGGCCATTGTGCTTAGCTTGGGTGTTACTGTCCTATGTATAACATTTCACTGTATTCCTATCTGTTGACTCTTTCTATCAAATATGCAGGATGACCTTGTGAATACAATTGGTGAAAATATTGCTCTAGGTGTCTCTGGAACTATAATATGGGGAAGCCTCAATTTAAGCCTAAGTGAGGTAAGTTGAATCCGTAAGAAATAGATGAGAACATTTCTACTTTTAATGTTTTTGAGGATTGTTGTGGTATTGAATAATAAAACAATTGCTGTGCTTGGCACAGAGTGATAGGTACTCGATTAATACTGGCTGAATCAAACTATCATTTGTGTGGTTATGTTATAAGGCAGAAAATATTGTACCTGTTTTCCAGTGAGAAAGCAGCAATTCAGCGAGATTAGTTGAAATTCTCTAGGCTACGTGGCTAGTAAATAGTAAAGACAGGATTATAATCTCAGTTTTCTGATACGGTATTTGGTGTTTTCTCTACTACATTGTGCTATGTCTCTTCTCAAAAGAGCTCCAACTAGTCAATGTGCATTCACTCATTCTTTCTTTCATTCAATTACTGTTTATTAAGCACTTATCTTATGTATTCATTTAGTCATTCAATGACTGTTTAGTGCAGGAGCCAGCAAACGATGGCCATGGCCAGATCTGACCTACTGCTTGTTTTTGTACAGCTCATGGTCTAAGAATGACTTTTTACATTTTTAAATGGATGAAAAAAACAAAAGAAGAATAGTATTTCATAACATGTGAAAATTACGTAAAATTTAAATTTCAGTGTCTATCAGTAAAGTTTTATTGGAACATAGTCATACTCATTCGTTTAGATGTCTAAGGCTGCTTTTGCACTGTAAAGGAATAATTGAGTAGTTGCTGCAGAGACTGTATTATTCAAAACCCCAAAATATTTACTGACTGTTCCTTTGCAGAAAGTTTGCTGACCCTTGTTTATTGAACACCTATTATGATTAAGTGCCAGGTAGTTGTTTAGTTGCTGGAAATGTAGTATTGAATGAAGCAAAGTCCCTTCACCATTGAGCTACATTCTCAAAAGTGGAAATACAACATAAACAGATATAATATGTCAGGTAGTGATAACTGCAATGAACAGCAATGAGGCAGTGTAGGCAGGATGGAGAGTGATGGAATGGTGTTATTTTACATGGGGTAGTCATAGAAGGCCTCTCTGATGAGGTGCTGTTAGAGCAGAGACCTGATGGAAATAAGGGACCAAATCTCTGGACACCTGGAGATGGTGCACGCAGTGGCCTTGATGCTGGAATGGGCTTTTCAAGAAAGAGCGAGAAATTTGACTGGAATGCAGTGGGCAAGGAAGATAGTGGTAAGAGGTGTGGTCAGTGAGATAGGAGAGGGTCAGACAGAGGGCTTCATAGTCCATGAGGGGGCTTTTACTCTGAGATGGAAAGCCACTAGAGGGTTTAAAGAGAAGAGTGGCAATTTCTGAGGAACATTTCAGAAGAATTACGTAGTTGAGTTGAGAATGGGTTGTAGAGAGACAAGAGTAGGGGAAGGGAGAGGAGGCCGTTTATGGCTTGGACAACAGGTGCCAGCACATGTTTGGATTTTGCATATAATGCTACAGCAGAATTGAGAGGATTGGCTGAGGGATTAGGTGAGTAGGTTGGATAAGAGAAGTGGTTAAAATAATTCCAAGGCTTTTGTCTCGAAGGAATTGCCTCTGAAATGGGAAAGACTTTAGGAGGAGTGGTTTGATGGGGGCTGGGCAGGGAAGAAAACGGGGTCGGGGAGGGAGGGGCGTAGGCAATCATTTTGGAAAATGTTACTAAATTGTTCAAAGCTTCCCTAAGGGAGAGGAAAAGAAGCCCTTCTTTTTCTTTCCACAGTTAGATTTAGTAGTGTCCATTTTAAGTAAAATTTTTAAATAAAACTTGTTTTATTAGGAAAAATGTTTGTTTCATTCTGTATAATATGAATTTTATTCCTTTTCTTCTAACACATTTTCTTTAGCTCCTTTCACTATTGTGATCTAATCCTTTTCTCTCTTCCTTTATTTTCATCCTTGTTTAATTCTTCGTGTCAGGTCTTTACCCCTCACCTCTTCAATCCTTTTCAAGAGTAAAGCTGTCACATGGGCACTACTGAATTGGAGGTGAGCTTTTCCTTCTCTGATGGATGTGGAAATAGTAGTGACGTATGCGCCACGGAGAATGTCTAATGAAGCTCATGGCCCGGAGATCTTATTCTAGGATCTATAGAGAAGAGACTTTATACTCTAAGATCAGAAGAGACTTTTGGATCTTTTTTCCTTCAGATAGACTAGCCATAGCCATGTTTTTACTTCATTTATAAAAGTACTTAACAGCGGTCACCCTTGTGAAATTCTTTCAAGGTAATCTGAGCCCTTCTACCTATTTAATTCTATTGTCTCTGGTTTGATCACTAATAAAGAGAAATAACACAAAATATGAGCTCAGAGAAAGGTATATGTTCCTTAGCAAAATCTTTCATATGTCAGAATATTATTTAAAAATTATAATTCTCCTAAGTAGATTCTTAATTTTCATTAGTTGTTTTCTCAAATCTATAAACTCCTTTCTCAAGGTCTTATTAATTCTACGATAGAACCATTTATATGTTCTCCATAATAATTCTTTTTTTTTTTTTTTTTAAAGAACTGAGAACTCCACCCTTACTTTGATGAGGAATGAATCACGCATTTCCCAATTAGTAGGATAACATGACATACTATTTAATTGTCACAGTTTTTTTAATTGCATTTTAATCTTAGATTCACATTCTTCTACCATGACTTCAGTATTATTCATATAGGGACTGTCCATCAACTTTACTATGACTATTTTCTTTTTTTTTTAAAGATTTATTTATTTATTTTCGCCCCAAAGCCCCAGTAGATAGTTGTATGTCATAGTTGCACAGCTTTCTAGTTGCCGTATGTGGGACGCGACCTCAGCGTGGCCGGAGAAGCGGTGCGTCGGTGTGTGCCCGGGATCCGAAACCGGGCCGCCAGCATCAGAGAGCACGCACTTAACCGCTAAGCCACAGGGCCGGCCCTGACTATTTTCTACTTAATGTCACTGCCTTGGAATTGTCCCCTGTGGCCTCTGTTCTATATATTTCTGCTACCTTTCCCAACTTATGAAGATTTTGAATGCTAGTTCTGTCATTCCTTCCCCTTTTTTTCTTTTTTTAAAGATTTTATTTATTTATTTTTCCCCCCCAAAGCCCCAGTAGATAGTTGTATGTCATAGCTGCACATCCTTCTAGTTGCTGTATGTGGGACGCGGCCTCAGCATGGCCGGAGAAGCAGCGCGTCGGTGCGAGCCCGGGATCCGAACCCGGGTCGCCAGCAGTGGAGCGCGCTCACTTAACCACCAAGCCACGGGGCCGGCCCTCCCCTTTTTTTCTATGTTGTTTGTAATCAATAGAGTCATGATTACTTGCCATGTTTCCTCTGATTCATTGACAACTTGAGAAACTGGTAATTGTAGATTTACTTGCAATGACTGGAACTGACTTAAAACAATTGCTATCAAATGTAAGCAAATGATTTTGTTCCATTCCATTTTATTAGATCCAGGAGTGTGACAGAGCCAGCTCCTACTTGTGCCAGCTCATGAGACCTAATTGTTAAATATTCAGAAATTTTGTGAACTGGTTATTAAACACAGCCATTATTAAAAATTAAATTATGGGGCTGGCCCGGTGGCATAGCAGTTAAGTGCGCGAGCTCCACTGCTGCGGCCCGGGGTTTGTAGGTTCAGATCCTGGGCGTGCACTGACGCACCGCTTGGCAAGCCATGCTGTGGCGGTGTCCCATATAAAGTAGAGGAAGATGGGCATGGATGTTAGCCCAGGGCCAGTCTCCCTCAGCAAAAAGAGGAGGATTGGCATCGGATGTTAGCTCAGGGCTGATCTTCCTCACACACACACAAAAAAATTAAATTATAAAAACTTAGAATAAAATAAATTTTGTTAAAAAATAGTAATAAATACTCAAAATGTATCATTTATTTACTTCATTTTACTATTATCCATACTCTTGAGGTCTTTTACATCTGTAGTATCTGTCTAAGTCGAAATATTATATAATGGTATGCTACTCCAAACCATGCTACCATACTGTGTAATAGTGGGGTACTTGATTCCCAGTTCTGCATAAGTGATGTCAGGTTGGTAGCTTAAAATTGGCCATGGTAGGATTATTCACACCATGGATATTGACAAATGCTATACACCAGGCCTTATCTTTTAGAGAGCTAGTTTTAGATCTTTCCAAAGACCACATCTTGTGTAGGCTAATGATTCTCAAACTATTCTCATCCTTTTACTCTTTTTTTTGCCTAACCCCTGTCCCTGTGAACAACTGCAAGTCATCTGAACTTGTCATGAATTCTCATATATCCTTGGCACTGGGGATTCAGTGTTATAAAATATTGACAGAGTGCCGGCACTCATGGAGCTTATGTTAAAGTTGGAGGGATAGAAACAATACACAAACAAGAAAAATATTGTTTGTGATAAATACTATGCAGAGAATTAAAATACAGAACTATGAGACAATAGACAGGAAAAGTGTCTGAGGAGGGCATTGTCTAATTAAAGCTGTGATCTGAATGACAAGACAGAGTCGACTGTGTTAAAAATTAGTGGAAAGAGGATTCCAAGCAGAGGGAACAGTAAGTGCAGTTTAAAATAAACCAGCCACAGGGCTGGCTCTGTGGCTTAGTGGTTAAGCGCGTGCGCTCCGCTACTGGCGGCCCAGGTTAGGATCCCTGGCGCGCACCGACGCACCGCTTCTCCGGCCACGCTGAGGCCGTGTCCCACATACAGCAACTAGAAGGATGTGCAACTATGACATGCAACTATCTACTGGGGCTTTGGGGAAAAAAAAAAAAGGAGGAGGATTGGCAATAGATGTTAGGTCAGAGCTGGTCTTCCTCAGCAAAGAGGAGGATTAGCATGGATGTTAGCTCAGGGCTGATCTTCCTCACAAAAAAAAAAATAAATAAATAAAATAAACCAGCCATGCTTGTGAAACAACTAGTATGTCTAAAGCAGAGTAGTGAGGCAGGATTGTACAAGAGGAAGAAAGGGTTATGCCACATCAAACTGTATACAAGTCAAGAGAAGCTGAATTTTATTCTAACAACTATGCAAAGCTATTTGAGGGTTGAGAAGAGGTTTTCTATCACTGCCATAAAAGTTACAACAAACTTAGTGGTTTAAACAACAGAAATTTATTATCTTACCGTTCTGTAGGTCAGAAGCCCAACATGGGTTTCAATGGGCTAAAATCAAGGTGTCGGTAGGGTTACATTCCTTTCTAGGGGAGGATCCTCACTTGCTCATTTGGGTGGTTGGCAGAATTCATTTCCTTGTGGTTGTAGCAGCGAGATCTCTATTTTATGGCTGGCTGTGGCTAAGGGTCACTTCCAGCTTCTAGAGGCCACTACATTCTTTAGCTCAAGGCTCTCTCCTTTATCTTCAAAGCCAGTGATGATGGGTTGAGTCTCCCTTACCTTTGAATTTGTCCTCATTCTTCCATCTCATTTTTTTTTTATCCCAGTTGGAAAAGTTTCTACATTTCTAAGAATTCATATGATTAGATTGAACCCCTACAGATAATTCAGCATAATCTTTCCATCTCAAGGTCCATACTCTTAATCATATCTGTAAAGTCCCTGTTGCCACGTAAGGTAAGATAGTAATAGATTCCAGGGGATTAGAGTGTGGACATCCTTGGAAGGCCATTATTCTGCCTACCATCAATGGCATCATCTCAAGGAAGGTAACAGGAAATAGATTCAAGTGGAAGCTGCCAAGATTCCTCAACTTGCCCGTTGACCTACCACCATCACTTCCTTTGGTCAGCTGAAGGACTAGCACAGCCAGCTCACTCAATGGAACTGCTGATCATGAAAGAAAGTGACTATCTTTTATGTTTTTAAAAGGACAATGTCCCAGTTTTAGAATGCACCAGTCTCAAGATTAATCATTTTAGTTACTCATCGCTCGTACTCTGACAAATAAGCTTATTGGTAAAAGAGTTGGCATAATTCACCTACGCCTTGAACTGTACATAAACATAAAGTATACTCAGTTGAACCTGTTTAGTTGTTTTGAGCTGGCAATTTAGAAACCACTCTTTCCAATGCTGTTTAAACTTGTCTGACAAATGTGATACTTACTGCATTTATTTGGAATTTTTTGAGGGCTAACTGATGATACGCTGGGCCCTGGGCTAAGGGCTTTTATATACCTAGTATCTTTTCATCTTCACAACAACCCTATGAGGTAGGTGCTATAATTGTCTTTATTTTACAGGTGATGGAGCTGAAGCATAGCCAGGTTAATTAACTTGCTCAAGGTCACCTAGATAGGAAACAAAACTTAGAAAGCTGGAGAGATTCCCCAGTTCACACAGCTAGTCATTGATGGAACTGGGACTCCAGTCAGGGCAGATGGACCCCAGAGCCCATGCTCTAACTGTTGTACCATCCTGCACCCCTCTCCATTAGTTTATGGATTACTGAGGAAGACCAAAGCTAGGGTCTGTTAAGCTTCAACCGTTCAATTATTCAGTGGCATGAAAAGGTATGTGAAACTTATTTATAAATGTTACAAAAACAGTTGGAATAATCTCGCTTGTTAAGATAAAAAAGATAAAATATTTCCTACCTCTTATTGGGTCTATTTTTTCGTGTTTCCTTAGAAATGGCTTATCATAGTGAATTAATTCACATGTAAACTAACTTGCACATTGATATTCTGACCTTCTTTATAATTTTACAGCAATCTTGCACAAACCTAGGCAATTACATGAAGACAACACTGAATCCTTACATAATCAACGTCACCCTAGCAGCCAAAATGTGTAGCCAAGTGCTTTGCCAGGAGCAAGGAGTATGTATAAGGAAACACTGGAATTCAAGTGACTATCTTCATCTGAACCCAAAGAATTTTGCTATTCAAATTGGGAAAAATGGAAAATACACAGTACATGGGAAACCCACACTCAAAGACCTGCAGCAATTTTCCAAAAAATTTTGCTGCAGCTGTTATGCCAACGTCCGTTGTAAAGAGAGAGTTAATATGAAAAACATTGCTTCTGTCAATGTATGTATTACTAAAGATGTTTGTATAGATGGCTTTTTAAACTCACAACGCAGTGGTCATCCTTCTCACTGGAGAGATAGACCTTCTATCGCCTTTCTCAGTATCTCAACCTCCTCACCACCTGCCACAGCGTCTCCATGTGTACCTGAGGAAGATCTCGGTGCATGTCCCGACGCCAAGTGTTCAGTGCCAGCCCAAAAGGGCTGTCAGAGTGTTAACCGGAAAAACACCTCTGGTGGTTCAGATATTCAAAACAAGGAAATTGATACAACCCCTTCGAGTACAAGTGCAGTGCTTATTAAGTTTCCTGTCTACATACTTTATGTTTTGATATCTTTTACATTTTTATGTTTAATAACTTAGCTAGCTTAAATTATTTTTTTACACAAGTGATCATACCTATACACTGGAAGTTTTATATTTGAAATGTAAATCAAAACTGTAGCTAAGATAGTACCTTGATTTTTTTGAGCAAAAATTGCTTTTTCATGATCAGATTGAACTTGAAATTATTATTGATTGATAAGCAAAGGGTGTTGACTAGCACCTTGAATTTTACAAAATTGTAGTCAGCGCTGTGGTACTACTAAATCCATTGATACTACATTTTGCTTTTGAAACTCAAAGTGGAATCTTGATTATTAATATAGCATAGAATTCATTTTGTAAGATGACATCCAATCTTGTATTTTCTAATTGGCGTGAGTCTATAGCAAATATTTTACATACTTTGAACGTATAAAAAGAACTAAGAGGTACCTGTTATATTCTCGGTCCTATCAAAGATGATTGTAAGGCCTAAAAACACTTGGAGGTCTAGTTTCCTTCTGCGAACGTGAAGATTTGAATAATGCCAATTTGCCGCAAATGAATGTCTTTATAAGTAGTTCGTAATTTGTAATAAAAATGTCAAGAAAATATTAAGGTGAAAAACTTTATCTTTTAAAATGAAATATCTTAAATGTACTAGTCTGCCTCAAGCACAGAACAATGGTTTTAGTTATTTCCTCTTGATGATTTGTTCAAGTTGTGTTTTATTAAAGATAATCTTTAAAAAGTGATTATCCTGTCAACTTTTGTACACGGTTTATTGTCTTCAGATTTCATATATAAAGTATTCTAATTTTTTTTTCACATTTGATTGTCAAATCTCACAATCTTGCATACCTAAAATGCCTCATTTCATCTAAACATCCATTCACATCCTTCAGATAGCATTTACTGAGTGCTTATTCTCTCCCAGGCTCAGTATTAAATGTCACAGATTCAAGGTGAGGTAGCATGTTTCTTGCCATCAGTGACTTTGTTGTATAACATTGAAAGTGGAAAATTACAACATAGTGTGTGATAAATGCTATGTCAGAAGTTCAGCATGCTCTGGCATACAAACAAGAATTTGGTAGTGTCGGAGAAGAATTTCAAGGCTGTCATGAAAGAGATGATATGTCCTTTGCCTTGAAGATTGAATAGCAGTTAGGTAGTGTGGAGCCATGAGACAGAAGGAACTTCAGAAGGATGGAACATTGAGTGTGGTTTTTAGAGTAGCATGCAGTAGATGATGGCCAAGTGATGAAACTTTTGTAAATCATACTAATAAGTTTGGATTTTATGAGGAAGACACCCCAAAACCTCTTAACTTGCCCTATTTTTTTCCATGCACACATATCACAGCATGATACAGTTATCTATTTTTACTCCCTTCCACCTCCCTATAATATAAGCATCATGAGGGCAGGTGTTTGATCTGTTTTACTTGCTGCTATATCTACAATGTGATGAACATTATCTGGGATTTAGTAGGTGCCCACTAAATATTTGTTGAATAATTAAAAGCCATTGGGGAGCCACTAAAGTATTTTAAGCATAGGAGGTATCATAACCACTTTTCACAATTTGGGTCCTCTTGGACCAATGCTGGCCTTTTCCTTAGTTCTGTCCTTCATGCTCCACTCTAATTATGATTCTACTATCAAAGCCGTGTTTTCATAAGTAAGCCACAAAAAGAAACACTTTGATAATGATCTGGAAAGGACACTATATATGGACTAGTTTACTTAGAATACATAAATGGCTGTGAGGTGGTCAGGACTTAGAAAGAATGGAGGCAGCAGGGTAAATTGGAAAAGGCATGGATTTTGGAGTTGGACAGGTATAAGAGCAAATCTCAGCTTCCAACATTTACTAGCCGTATGAGCTTGAGAGAGTTAACCTGGCCCAGCTTCCATTCTAATAAAATGCCAATAATATATACCTTTTAGAGTTCTTGAGAGGATTTAATAATATAATACATGGAAAGCATTTGGCCTTAGAAATAATGCAATAAATGTCTGTGGGAGAAAGGGGATGGATACGTTTTTATTGGGCATGGGAAGTTGCCTGTATTGCTGTCGTTGGAGTGAATGTCAAAAGAGTAGAATTCTGCCATGGCAGACTTGGGCATGAACCCTGTAGGAAAAGAGGCCACTAAATAGAAAAAGAGACTCGGCAGGAATATTTTATGTAATATGCAACTTTGTGTATGATTAGGTTTACAGAAACAAAGTTGTATTTCCATCCAGATCAAGTATTTTTGCTGGGGACCATGCTTGTATTCGTGGTACGAAGAGAATAATATGGTGTCCCTGCTCTTCACGAGCTTGCACATTGATGGAGATGATGGACATGTAAACAGAAATTGTCCATAGAATATGGCATATGCACAAAGTGTAAACATTGAAGACCTATAAGAACACAGGTTTATCCAGTTAATTAACACGAATGCTAAAGAAATTGAGTAATTTAGCTTTAAAAGGTGTAGAATTAGTTTAGTTTGTTAAATGTAGACTGAATCCCTAAACTCTCAAGTGTCATACAAAACATGTCTCCCTGATATAGCAGAGGACTCGGTTCCAAAGTTATTAGAGAAGATATCTGCTTTTATTTTTGAAAATGAATTTGAAAGGACAATAGATATAAAGTAGACCATTGGATTTATTGTATAATTATATTCAATATTGTTGGAAGAAAGCAGATATTCACTAAGAGATCATGAAAAATGATTTAGCACTGTTCATTAATATTTGTGTTATGCTAACACAAAAGTGACTAACAGGAAAACAACAGCCCATAGGAGTGTAAAGGACAAAAGGAAATGTAGAAGGCCACAAAATGAGAAATATTTCCAAAATGCTGACCTTTATTTGTTAACGAAGAAATAATGAAAGAAATTAATTTCTCAAATTTTTCTATAAATTGGCTGCTGGCAAAGTAATAATGATCTTTAGATGGCGTCTAACCTACCATGGAGGAAGAGGACAGTTAGGCACATACTACTTTGTGACTAGATATTTGAGGACTGTGAGGACATTTACTGACCATGTAACTTCACACTGCAATGGAAGAGTGATTTCGGGCCTCAATCCTTTGTACCCCACTCCCAAATAAGCTTGGTGAAGGCACAACCACGTGTTTGGGATCCTACAACATAGCACAATTCCTGGCACAGAATAGATGCTCAATGAAAAGTTGAAAAAAATATTGCAATGACTATCGAGAATACTAGTGAGTATTGAATATAATTGAGCAGTAATTGAGCTACTGATTGATAAGTTTCAAATTCGGTTGGTTAGCTACCACGGATGAATGCATTTTTTTCCCTTTGCTGAGAGGGTATTTATTTTGAAACACTTCATCTGAAATTATTTTTTATTTTGGAAATGCTCCCCGCCACTCTCTTCTGTTTCTTTTGGTACGTGGTGACAATGATCTTACTCCTCTACTCCTGCCTCATAAGTCCAAGGTAATGTTGTGTTCATCATGTTTTTTAATTTTTTGTATATTATGATGTTTTGACATCTTAAAAAACACCTTTATAGCTGGGGAGAGCCTGTCCCTTCCAGGGCTACCAATTCTTAGAGACAGCAAACGGCATGCTATTTGATATGCAAACTAACCAATACAGAGCTCTACCTCCTCCATCTGGCCTGTACATCTCAGGAGGCAATATGCTTCTGCATTAATCATCCCAGGACCCAGTACCAGGCAACTAGAGACCATCTCTATAGCCCTGCTGGGGTTCAGTACACACTACCCCAAATATGGCACCTTGGCATATTGAATATTTTAAACTGAAGGAGATTGAGAAAACAACAGAAGCAAGAGGGTCACTCTGACCTCCGCCTCCCTTGCCCTTCTTCCCTGAAACAGGCCATAAAACCCTCAGGTGAGCCTGGTGGAGTAGTGGTTAAGTTCACATGCTCCGCCTCTGCGGCCCAGGGTTCGCGGGTTCGGATACCAGGCGCAGACCAACACACTGCTCATCAACCCATGCTGTGGCAATGTCCCACGTGCAAAATAGACGAAGATTGGCAACAGATGTTAGCTCAGGGCCAATCTTCCTCACCAAAAAACAAAAATAAAAACAAAAAACCTCATGTGAAAGGTGGTCTCTGTATATACCTGGAGGAAAGGAACATCTTTATCTCCGAAGACAAGGAGATACCAAGATGAATCCAAACCCATAGACCTTGCTAAGTTTTCCCCAGTTTACTACACCTACCTCACACTCCTTAATCTATCATATTTTATCCTACTGCTCACTCTTCATCAAACCTAGTATAAAAACATAGCGTAAAAACACACAGGTCTGTTTCTTTGGGTCTTTATTTCTTTATGAATGCTCCCATGTCACGTAAAACTTACATAAAATACATGTGTATGCTTTTCTCCTGTTAATCTCTTTGTCAGTTTAATTTTCAGACCCAGCTAAGAACCGTAAGATGGTCAAGGAGAACTTTTTCCTCCCTACAGCCCAAAGTCTGCTGAAATTATTCACACTAGCCAGTCTTAAACTGTTCAACTTGCCCTGCCTTGACTTTCCCGAGGAAACTCCGATAAAGGCTGCTGGTGTAGGCTCTCCCTTCGCTCCTGTTTCCTGTCCAAAACCTGATGCTCCTCTTGTGGTCCCCTGCGTCATCACTCAGTCACTTTTATAAATTAAGACTCTGGCACAGAACAAATGGGAAAGCAGAAATGCTTTTCTCTTTGTTAATAGTTTGTTTCTCACCGTGACTTCCTCTGCAGTAAATTCATAACTTCACATGTTAGCTAAAATGAACAGTATGTCCTTTTTAAAGTGTGCTTTTTAGACTAACTCTGAAGGGAGCATCTTTCATTGAAACGTCATTTTTGGAAAGGCCTTTCTGAATTACTCTACCTAATGAATGGCAGTTTCCTTTGAATTTGACGAACACTGCAATCTCAACCCTGGGTTTAGGATTCATACTTCAGGACTCAGCAGCTTGCCTGTCAGTGTTCCCCAGCATAGAATACTAGGACTCACATTATCTGTTTCACTTGCAAAATTGCCAGGATTGTTTCACCACAATCATTCTACACAAGATATTGACATTTTGATGACACTGAAATTTGACATGGAGTGGTTAAGAATTTGAATGTGAAAACCCATTGATAAAATCCATCAATAAAATTGAGAGCCTGGATATTTCTCTTTTCTCCTCTGCTTGCAATAAAAGAGAGAGTAAAGGCAGGAGGTGGGGGAGAGTGGGTGGAAGAGAAGAAAACAAAAGGAGGGAAGAGATAAGGGAAAAGAACTAGAATTCTTTGATTTCCCTGATTCCATTGAGGACTCTGGTTTGCACAGGATTGAAAAGAACATCTGATGTAGACACAATTATCCTTCAACTCCCTGAAGAGCCAGGAGTGCTTGTACTTGAATGCCCTATCTGAGCTGACCGGCACAAATGTCGCTGCCTTCTCTTTCTTCCCTGGCCTCAGACTTCCTTTAAGAAGCAAAACGGATGAAGCCACAAAGTGGAGGTACCGTTTGGGACATGCCAAATCCACAGTCTGCTATGTACTCGCAGGTTATGGTACAAAGTCACTAAGATCTTAAAGTAAACTCTCTGAGTCATTAAATTTCCTGTTAGGAAAAAGGAAAGTGTTTTATTTGCGACAGACCTTATATCTTTATGTCTAAACTTTGTTTAATGTTCGACTTGAGATGGAGCTGCAAAAGCAATCAAAGTGATTCAAATTATTATTTTACATTTTT